AATGCCCAAACTGACTTTGATGCAAACAAGGACAGTACAGTTGCATTTTGATTATTTCCGGAATTTGCGAATCTTTGAACTTTTTGGTCCATCGCGCTTAAATCTCGCAAAGAATTTTGACAGAGCAGATTTTTTCTTGGTAGTTGTAGCAGTTTGCTTCCAGCAAAATTTATCCGTCAAATTCAAGGCTATATGAGTAGCAACACAAGCATCACTTGTACCAGGATCGTTCTCAACCATGTAGGGCTGATCTCCAGATGCTTCTTCGGCATTTAATACATTGTAACTGTCCGTCGAGGGTGGAGGCAGCAGAAGGTCTGAGGCGTAAGGTGAAGATTTGTAACTTTCTATTGGAAGAACTAACGAGGAATTCCGGTGAGTCTCTCCGTTTGGCCAATCATGTTCGTCTTTACCCGGCGCGACCTTGATTCTTTTAAATCTTGCCCTCTTCTTTTTCTGCTTCTTGCTGAAGTTGTTTTCTTCTTTTGTGAAGTTATTGCCAAGTTGATCCTCGCCACCTGGGCTTGAGCTTGAACTCACGATGGGGAAAAAGTCATTTCCGTCAACCTTCTTAAATTTCTTTACCTTTGTTCTACGAATAACTAACAATCTGATTCCACCGTTCTCGCCTCTCTTCAAACTAAAACTGATTAAAGATATGAAAAAGAACACCACGAAAGACATGCCGCGAGACACTTGAGACATTTTTTCTTGTGAATGTTTCCTCTCCACACTCTGCGCTGATTGCGTCAATCACTGTGTCATAATAAAAACTGAAATAAGACCAGCGCGCGCTCTTGCGTGACGTTTACTTGGTCTCGTCGCATAACACTCTGAAAAGGGCACGTTGCGTGACCACACCAAATAGGACGCAGCTACAATATATTACGAGCAGTCCCTTTCGGCGAAGTTTAAAACAAAAATGAAAATAAAACAGGGAAAAAAAAAGAAAGAAAGAAATTTATGTCAGCGTGCTACAGGGAGCTCTGGAAGTGAGGAGCCCCACTTTCAAAGCTCCCCGCGCCGCACTTACATTAAATTTTTTCACTGACTGTTTCTTAGGTCTTTCTCTTAAATGGAAGACGGACTAATAGATGATTTCTACGTGCTCATATATTTGTATAGTAAAAGAACACTGATCACTTTAAATCTGGTGTAAACATCATTTCCTAATTTCCTCATGGTTCGGACCACATTTCTGACGCAATTTCGGTCACATAAAGACAGGAAATATATTCCTGAAATAAGTCTTAGGGTTTTTCTATACTTAAAGATTAAATCGTTTTAAACACCGTGAAAGACGCTCATGGTATTGGAAAGTAACTTAAAAGTCAACGTTACGTCTACGAAAGATATAGTTATGGTTGGTTACAACAAACATTTGCTGTAAATGATAAAATTATTCACGGCTAGCTGAGCATTCTTACGTCAATGTCTGAGTTTGCAGTTTTGAAAGGAATCATAAAAACTAACCGTGGAATTAGCTTTTTGTACAGCCATATCCAACATACATACATACATTTTATCACTTGGATTTGTATTTGCAGGTTTTCATGCGCACTCAGTTAGCTTGAGTGCTATTCTAGGTGAGTCGCATGTTGGGCGTAAAACTATGACATAAGCGTTAGCAAATTAGTATAATCTAATAATATTGTTAATAGGACAAATTTACTTTTACTGAATAAATAGATTTACAATATCATGGAGGGATGAGAAGCTACAAGTTTACCCTAAGGACTAGCTAAGGATATAAAATGTTGGCGGCTATATATACTATAGCCGCCTTATATAATAAGCTTGACCTTTTGAATGATTTGTTGAGTGTCAACAGAAGAGTCTTCTAAAATGAGAATGTCAAAGAGTATTCTTTTTATTGTCTTTTCTTAATTTTAAGGGCACCTCAATCCAAAAATTTTGTTCCAATTCTGGAGAAAGAAAGTAGTCGAATTGATAGTCTAGAACTCTGTTTATGCAAGTTGTCAGAGAGAATATCGGGTGTTATAAGAATGCATCTCAGAAATATCTTGGGAGAGTTCTTGAATGCTGCAAGGTGTAGCATTCAAGTTTATCTACATTGGCTATTCGGGATTGCTTTTAAATTTCCTGTCGGTTTGTTTTTTAAGTCTAAATGCCGTTCTGGGTCCTACTCTAACACCATGTAAAACACATTAAAAACAAACAAACAAACAAACAAAAACAATAGCCAATGTATGCTCACAACAAATACTCATTTTTCTATTTCGAATAGAGAATAACACATGGGTGCACATAGATATGGATTTTTTGCTTTCTGGCCTGGTAATCCTTTTAAAACACTTCAGTTTATTCTATGTAGTTAAGGAATTTTCGCTGCCTCTGAGGATTTGACAATATTTCAGTTATAGTTTTAAGTTTGACAACACTAGTTGAAGAGCCACGATACAAACATCATATAATAGAACACAGCTTTGACATAATCTGATAACAAAATCTCTCAAGTATCCGAGGTTCTCAGTTTGATTTTACCACTTCATATCCGACTCTCATTTTAGGACACAACAGACCATTGTATGCTTAAAGCAATATTATCATTATTCTTTCTTCGTGGTTGTAGCAAACGCACCGGCAAATTTTTAAACAGTTTATCGAATCATACAATTTATTCGTAACCAGTGGTTTCTGAAACATGACTAACTTAAATTACACTACAGCCAACTACCGACAACTATAATTAGGATCACAAAGCGAAACATCAAACGGGAAAAGACAATGCAAAACGTACCTGACGGTTTGGATAGAAGGAGTACACGAGATGCAGCAAAGAAATGATCATGGCACGACAACTGTATAACATTACTGTTCTTTTCGCGCGAAAATTTCAATATATGTATACGGACGCGAGGGGACTGAAGCCTAATTTCCGCTGGCCTTTAAATTTGTTGTAACAGTGGTAATCTTAGTTACCCCTTGCTATAAATAGCCACAAGTAAATTGTCGATCTCTAGACCTGACGAAGACCAGCAGTGTGGCAGTCGAAAAGTCGCAGTTAGCATTGGTGGATGTGACGGCGGTATGCAATTTAACCGTGTGAACGCTATAGCCCAGCTTCTGATACCTGGATAACTGTTTCGCCTCTAATACATGGGAGAAGTGCACTTAACGCGCCGGTTTTGTGTGGGAAGCTTTTTGTAGTCCAAGGTTATGATGGAGGGGGGTTTTGAACACTCTCGAGGAATACTTTCGTGAACAAGATTGTCGGGTGTTGATTAGCAGTATGAACCTGGGACGTAACGGAGCGGGGTTTGCAGTAGATTGGAAACCTGCCACCGGGCTCAAAAGTAATCAATGATTGCATAGGTTCTGCTTTCGCGGAGCTGTGATTGGCCCGGAAAACTCGTGCCAACCTCGCGCTTGATGTTAGACAAAAAAGGGATCGCGACTAATAACCCACTTTTTCCCGCGCGCTCTATCTACTTTGGTTTTATTTATGAGTCTAGAGCGAAAACTCCTCTAACGAAGGAAACAAAGAATATTTTCGTTACAGATATATTTGCAATGAATCCAGAATAAAAGTATAAAAAGAACAGAGATTTACTGGCTCTCACAAGAGCGTTGTACTCTAACCAAGTGCCATTATTTCTCACTAAAAGTTCTTCTAGCTACAGTGACATTATATGCTACCAAATCTAATATATGTGGCTTAAAAATACGCTGCGATTTGGCCTTCGGACCTTGTATCTTCTCCAAAGTTTTTCTTCTACTTTCTTTGGTGCAGCTCTTTAAATGCCAGGTGTTTTAAACACTCCGCAACAAAAAGATCCGTGTATGTTATCAAGCCAAATGGACATTATTATTTCATTACCAGTATCATTTCAACTTCAGTAACGATCTAAAAACCTCAATTACAATAAAGGGCGCTTTCCATCTTGCTCACATGTCTGATTCAGCCAATTGAAATTCAAGCCCGACATGGCCACTCAAACATGAACCTTTGGCAATATTTCTTTTCCTTATCGGTTTTTGAGTGGAAATTCCAGACCCATTGGAATATGACTTTTTCCTAGTGTATACAGTTAAATCCCTCGAAAGCTGAGTCAGCGATTAGTTCCCTGAAATATTGACAAAAGCGACTTTTCCTAGTATTAAGGTATAAAAAGTAAACATGTTGAAAATTGCAGAAAAATGTTTTGTAGTTGCGTCTCACGTTTCGACTTGAAAATCGATCCATGAGTCTGGGGGAAAAAAATACTGCTTCAGGTTTTGGGATTTGAAACCGGGACTGAATTTTAGCTCAAAGGAAAGCGCTGCTGGATTAATATCTCTTTGAAAAAGCTTTTACACTTGGTTCGAAACAGAAGAGTTCATCCTCTTCGTGTCACCCAGTTACAAACTCTGCGACAGATCCATTGTTGGACTTTATGGCATACCCGAAGCCAACGGCTGTACCTAAACAAAAATCTGCAAATCCGTTGGGTTACCCAGTTGCACACCCGGTTACAAACCCAACTTCTGAATCCTCACCAGATTTGGCGTTTCTCACCTAGCAACCACGAAAAAATACAGTTAATGTAAAAATCACGTCCCGTACATCTTTCTTGAGTTTTAGTCGTGCGTCGATCAATTCAAGGCCTTATAATTCCCCACCCCCCCCCACCCCGCATTTTCCACATTTGTAACAAGACAAAGTTGTCGTTAAGTCTCCAAGTCTTTCTTACAGAGGGACCAAGGCGGCCAATTCTAAGCGGGAAAAATGACCCATCTCACTTGCTTGAGAGTCAATCAGCACACATCATTCGATTCATGTTAGCAGCAGGCAGGGCCAGTCATGTCCTAAAGGTACCTAATTTTTTTTTATCTGTGAAGTAAACAGGGAATAATATTGAAGATTTGATTCTTCCTTTTAGCCATTTCTCTCTTGATTTGCGTTATTTTGTCAAATAAGAAAAAAAAATTAGTTGTTCTAAACACATCCCATCCTTAGCTTCACCTAGACACTTACGCTAAGAGAAAGCACATCCTATTCAATACGACTTACGTGCGTCAGGAATGTCGTATAGGTCGGTTATTTCAGGGAAGTCCCTGGCCTCTTCGTCAACGAGTTCATCAACACCCTCATCAGACTCCACATCAGCTTCCTTGTCATTTGGGTTCATAGCACTCCTTACGACCGCGTAAATTGGCAGATTTGCACACAGATTCACCATTCCAGTACTCAGCACTGAACGATCATCAAGCAGTCCCACAACCTTCATCTGTATTTCAGTTGAAGTGGTTGGTAAGTCTTCACCTTGTGTTCTGGGAGTTTGCTGATTACACAATGAGACAAAGTCATGAGAATTAGAAATCAGACGCGCCAAAAAATTGCGAGACTGACAGCAAAAGACCTAAGGTGTGGAAGTAATTCAATCTTACCGTCTCTAAAGCTTCCTTTAAAACAGCGGGTGTGGGAGTTTTATCGACTGAACTCGCCATATAGCAAGCCTTTTCTGCTGGCAGATGAATCATTGTCACTTGCTGCATGAAAAATAAATTCAGCTTTAGTCAGTACTTTAGGGAAAAACAAAGTGGACAAAAAGTGGACTCAGATACAATGAACTGACACACTTGACAGCCTGGAAGTTTGTACTGAGATAAACTCGAGTTATTACAATAGGTGATAATGATAAAGATGTATTTATATGGCGCATTTTCTAAATGAATATGACCTTATGCGCTTTACAACCTTCCCCGAGGGGACTTTGGCCAAAATACAGTTTGCAAAGTATTTTTTTAATGAAATTTTGCAGTTAGCCCCTTGTGGACACAAGGACAGGCCATAACACCGGTGGCTACGTTCCTAACTCTTTGCGAGAGGTGCGTAGGTTCTTTAACGTTCCCTCCTATCTATTATAGAGAAGATGAAGGAGACAGGGCTTACGGTTTACAGTCCTTATTCGAATAAACTTGAACGTCTAAAAATTTGCAGAAGTCGTAGCAAAGGCAGCCCATTCTCGTCATTTATATTAAGACTCTTGAGTGTTGGGCGGGTCTGGGGCTTGAACCCTTCACTTCGCGCACGGCAGTCCAGCGCTCTACAACCTGAGCCAACTGGGGGGTAATTAATATCCCTAGAGGAAATGGCATGATACAGACTTTTAGCGAAGCTTGCAACGTTTAACAAAGTGCCATACTTATAAAAAAATGACTATAATAATAATGGTACAAAAAATATAAGAAAACACATAAAAAGGTAAAGGAAAGAAGTCCTTAAACAACTTATCGGTGAAAGGTTTATTTTAAAAAGAATGAGTTCACTACTTCCAGGATGAGACGCAGTACATAAATATATGAACAGGGTAAGGATCGAACAAGAAATCCCGACGGTAATTCTTCCTCTCACCGCCCTTACCAACCCAAAGAATTGTATTCAACAAATACGACCAAATATTACCCTTTTGAAATCGTATATTATATCTCCTGCTGATTCATTAGGTGATGTCTTTGGTACATGGAAAGTCTCTGTTCCCTTTGTAATGTCGATTGCAATCTCTTCTTTAAATGTTCTTCCGCCTTCCGACAACTCCAATGAATATTTGCTGACAGAGCTCTAAGAACAAATAGAATTTCAATTCATGGAAGAAAGATATATATATATTTTTAGGCATTCATGTAACTACATGGATTCAGTATCGCTACTGTTAGTCAAAAACCAAAATTAAAGATTAAAAAGGAAGTTGAACGGCATTGACTTAATAATTCTGGTCTTTGTTAACGTAACATTTACCTAACTATGGGACAACAGAAACTGAACTTGCAACGATCGATCTTCATTTAAAAGGAACAATTTCATGAAGCAGGCCAAGGATAACTTAATAAATTTCTAACCCCTCAACATCCAGGATTTCTGCCGACTGGTAACCATACATTTTCCAATTGGCTCTCTGAGAGAATTTGAAGCTAAATCAAGACCATGTCTTTTTCTTAATTCTCATTATCTTCCGGCCCGACAATGTATTTTAGCCGTAAGGATATTAAAACAAATAATCACTTACCTTCTTCTCTGATATCAAAGAGGCTGACTGGACAGACACGACCAACAGGGCAAGAAACGAAAACGATGTTGACAACTTGAATGTCTGTGAAAAAACAGTAAGTCAGTAATGTAACGCGAACTTCGTTGAAGGTTTATGAAATGCTACTTTCATAGCAATATTTTTGTTTCTTGGGGCTAGATATTTCAGCGATTTCAACATAGACGACTTAAAACAAAATTCCTTTTAAGTTTATTTGAGCACTCTTGAACCTGGCTCGTCCAATGCCAACTCTCTTTTAATGGAGCTATGCATGAATTCAATAACGCTCGTAGGGCTGTTTTTAATTGATATTCGCAATAAAGAAACAATGAAGCTTTAATAACTTTTCAAAGAGTAACCAACGACTTTTAAAAAGTCACAGCATTTAAGAAAAAGCAACTTTGATTCAAAATGCCTCATGAGACTTTCTCCAGGGACATATTAGAGTGGTATTTGATATCAGCACAATTCATAAAAAGAAATGTTAAATCAACCTACCATTTTCGCTTTCCACAGTTCACTTCTTTAAGCGATTAAGTGTCTCTCTGGTCTTCTCCAATCTGTAAATCCAAACTGGAACTGTCTGAAAAAGTCTAGTAAACAACCCTTTTTTATATCATGTGTTGGTGATGATCACAGGCAAAAAATAACTCATTGCGTATGTCTTTTTATGGACAATTTAAGGAAGTATTGGTTTATCGTGTTCATCTTTTTCGGAAGAAATATTAATATTGGTATTAGTGCGTCCGCTTGAGCTAACATCGGCTTAAAAAATATATCGATACGGTGATATATATAGATTTTTCGTCGGAAAGTAATATATTCTTTGCTGTTTACATAAACATTAACCGAGTGTGCTCGCATTTCTGTCCAAGGACATTATTGGTTTCGAGAAGCGAACAGTTCTCCGAGAGTGGAGTGCAAATTATTTCATTACATAAAGTGCGGTGTTTTACTGCGTGGGGTGTTTACTTTTTTCCCTTCTCCTGAGGCAACCTCAAAATGCTCTGACATCTTGAATTAAAGTTTAAACATGGAATGTTATTATATTTAACATGAGGTTTGAAAACTGCGTAATAATACCTGGCTAATATTACTCGATATTCCATTGTTTAGGGGGTATTCGGTCACGTGGTGCGTTTAGACCGATCATGCTTGGAAAAAATATTTGATAAATGATAACTTTGGACATATTACACTTAATAAAAACAGGGAAAAAAGATTATTGGAGTAATTTGGTGTTGATCTTAATTCCACTTCCTAAACTGAAATAAAGGTATATATCCAATTCCAATTTTTTTGGTACAAATTGTATGCAACAAATGAAACTTTTTCAAATATGATATGCATTATCCAGCAAGGGGACGAGGAGAATTGTAGAGTTGTCAATAACCTGTAGGGAGCGTTCCCTCGATATATCACCAATTTTCAGTGCTAATTTAATTGCAAATACAATTAAGTCGCAAGGGAGATTGAGAAATCTTCTTAACACCTGTACTATGAAATAATACTTGATGAATATTGGAACGGCCTTTTTAGAAGATTAAAGGAATGTTGTGTGCTAATAAAAATGCTTTTATTTCGGCTGTTCAAGTGGTACTCTGAAACCCAATACAGATTTAACCACGAAAAACTTCCTGTAATATAGGAAGGTAACACTATTAGCTGGAAGAGAAGAACATTATTGTTCTTGAGAAAAACAAGTAATGTGAACCGACCGACCTATTAGCCAGATGATGATATCTTGACAGAAAACCAAACTGAAGAGTCGAAACCGTCGGTACTGTTGTAGCCAACATAAACAGTTGCAACAGTGACTGCCTTTGACAACTCTCTGGCGGAATAAATTAAATCAGGTCTTGGTGAGGAAGACGAAATCTCACCACCAAAGACGCCACACTATCGTCGCAATGACGAAAATTAGGACCATGAAATGAATATCTTTAATGAAATAAATGATAACCAAAACCAATAGATAGATAGATAGATAGATAGATAGAAACTTTATTAAAGTGTCAAAAAAACCGTCTAGCTAGGGAACAAATCCCTTACTAATTTGGGGACACCAATTAGGGGAGAATATACAAACTAAAAAAAACTATATACAGTAGTAGGTAAAATATCTATAGTTAACTCATTAAGAGATTTATAGTAAAAATACACAGAAGTCAAAATGAACAAAGGCTACAGCCTGCGCAGCCATCATCTAAAAGTTCACTTATATTGAGTTGGCGTATCTTGCTTTTAAACGACGTTAGGGTTGTGACGTCCCTGATACTCTTGGGTAGTTTTGTCCATAGCCTAGGCCCTAAATATCTAATAGAGTGCTTGCCATAGGTGACTGTCTCATACCTAGGTATTGAGAAATCTGCTTGCCGCAGATTGTAATTACTATTTGGTTCTTTAAAGATGTTACTTATATATGCAGGGCACAGTTTATGCTTTACTTTATACATAAGGATGCACAGATCCTGTAAGCGACTATTTAGTAGTGTTGGCAGATCTGCCTTCTCTAATAGTTGTTCATAACTAGAATTATTATCCTTGAAAACCGCTCTAAGTCCTCTTTCTTGTAGTCTTTCAAGCTTTCGAGTGTCACTCGCTTTACAAAAATGCCACACTAGGTGACAGTACGTGAGGAATGGTAATATCGCGCTTTTGAATAATATTAACTTAGATTTCATAGGAATTAAATTACGTAGTCTCATTAGAACACCAATTCTCTGGCTGGCTTTTTTTTACAGATAGAGATTACATGCTCAGAGAAATTTAGCTTAGAATCTAACACTACTCCTAGAAGTATGATATTATCTTTAGTTTCAATCACAACATCATTCACGCAAATATTGCTGTCATTTTGAGTGAAGCCCAAGTTCAAAACTTGGTACTTTTTGAGGTTTCCGCCAATAAGTTAGAATCGTACCACGTTGTTGCTGAGTTGGCACTATCCTTTAACTGGGAAGTCACAGCTGCCTGGTCTGCTCCTGCGTGGTAAATTTGATGGTCGTCGGCATACATAGACAAGTTCGCTGTTAGGCAGTAGGATAGGTCATTCTGGAAAACATTCCATAACAACGGGCCAAGCGCGGAACCCTGAGGACAGCCACGACTCACGAATCGGCTCGAACTAACATGACGGCCGATCTTTACTTGATATTTCCGTTCATTTAAATAGCTGTTTAAAATTAAATTAAAACTAAATTAAAACCCTTTACAAGCCGACCAATTTACGCAGTTCGCCACGTGCCACCCAGCAGGCGTAGAATATGGTTTCATTAAAGGCGAAGCAATAAGACTGCTAAGAACTAACTCTTCGAAAAAAAACATTTTAAGAGGGCCTTTTGAAATAGCTCTTATCGGAGTTAAGCACGCGAAATCAGCGGTCTCCGGATGAGCTTACGCCAAAACGAGGCTATCGGGTCTAGCTCGCTCTAAAGTACAAGGAAGCAGAGAGGGAAATTAGTAGTAGCTTGGTATTTACATAATATTTTCTCGAGTTTTTAGTTTCTTTATCCATGGTGAAACATTGCATAGCTTTTGGGTGTCAAAACTGAAGTTCCAAAGCGGAATGCAAGGACTTATCATGGCATTCGCTGCCGCTGTCAAACAAGAATTTGCTGGCACAATAACTCGTGAAACTGCGTCGAGAGAACACTCCGGTAGACAAAAACTCTTATGTCTGTAGTCAGCATTTTGAAGCTAATTGCTTCATAAAACCAATGGGAGGACAAAGAATTCGCTTGAAGCCAGATTCCGTACCGACAAAGTTTATATTTACTGTTGAAAAACCAAAGAGGAAAGAGCCCGCTGATCGAGCAACGTTGAACACAAAGAAAACAAAAATAGAGAAATCGCAGCAGCATTCAGCCCCCGAACCGATAAACATTGAAAACACCGATTTTAAATCTGTTTCAGATGGTATGGAAACTGAACATCTCGAAAGTGAAGGTTTATTTCAAATTGTAGATGAAAACTGGGAACATCAACTTCAGTTAAAGAATGACGAAATCTCATGTTTACTTGAGAAATGGCAAACTAAGGAGCGCGAACTGAACAAAAAAATACAAGAGCTGGAGAATCAACTTGAAGAAGAAAGAAGTGCCAGAAAGGAGCTGGATGATGTTATCATGGCTGATAGAGATTTTTAATATTCAAGAGATGCTTGCATGTAAAGGGGTAAAAGTAAATGTTCCTCCATTCATGAATGAATATAACTGATGACCCTGCGGCAGGTAAAACAAATCGATATAGAACTTATGCTTCGATATTCCCTTCAAGCAATGGCAATAATTATAAGGGACAAAAAATATTGCAATCTGTGTACCTTTGAGATAACTCAGCCTTCGTTGCTTCAGACCGTGCACTACCATCTTTAGCCGTCCCTTTGCGGAATGACAACCATTCTTTGAGTCTTTCTTAGTAATATGCCGTGGGCAATTACCACTTATCAACTGCACTTTCTCCTTAGCGGAAAAAAAGGCCGCTTGTGGAAGATTTGTGGAACACTCCATAAGTTTTCCTCACTTTCTCACAC